GTGTTGTAAGTCCAAGCCGATTAAGCTATATACACGGTGTAATTATCAGATGAACCNATATATATATAATAGTCTTTCAGAATTTCTTGTTGTCCCAGGGCTGAGGCATTTATTTTGAATAAGCTGATTTAAATCCTATACAAGTCATTTTACTATGTAAGCAATTTTTTTTACATTATAATCATAACCTAGTATATAAAGTTACTCTTCTTTAACCATTTGATTCCTATCACTGTCCCTCTATACTAGTATTTCGGTATCATCTGCCTTCAATGTCAAACATTTTAGAATATTGACTATATAAATATACTGAGCCTCAAAGCACACCTACGGTTTCTAAAATTGTTTCCTAGAAAAGTAACAAAGTATTTCCGTACGAAATTATTTTTCGCAAAACTAATACTAGAACCCTAAGAGAAGCTATCTCTTGGCTCTTGCTATGTGAAACAAGAAGAGGTCCTGTGTTATGTTCCCAGGTCAACTTTTGATAAAGTAAGAGGAATTTTTTTTGAATGAGTTATGAGGTTTAGTTTTATAGAAACACGCCGAAATAATAATTGTAAAGTGAGAGGGAAAAAAAAAAAAAGCCATAGAGTATCACGACAAATTCAAAATAGTTTGAACTTTGAAGTAACATTATTATAGGTTTATTCGACTTTTTGAAAATGGTAATATAATATTAGTAACAAAGTCAAATCACTTGATTAGCTATTTATCCTAAAAACTGTTTTAATTGTATCCCTTTGAATACAACACTTATATAACTTGTTTTAAACGAGTATTAGGCACAATATTTTACAGCAATAACGTAATGAAGTATTCTTCTTCTATAAGTTTTCCCTTTTCCTTTCTTTCTATCCATTATAGCTTCTATTTCTCACTAATTTGTAATTCCAAAAATTCTAAGAATTTCTTAGATGGCAAAGTACGCAAACCTATTTTAGAGGGCATGATTTGAATCAATTATTGTGAAAGTGGAGATAAGATTTTATGTCATGACTCTTGACTCGTGACAATACCAGCTACGTTGACCCTTTCCTGCTTTTTGGACAACTAGATATAAACGACACTGATGTTTATTACTGATTGGTTCAGTTTCTTTAAAGAAATCGTTGATAAATTATTTTAATAAATTGTTGTTTTTTAAGCCAATACTATGCTCCCGTTTGATCATATATTTTTTCAATATTTTTTAAAATATTATTTGTTAATGGAATATGATCATATTTTGAAAAAAAAAAAAAGAATTTGTTTTACAAGGGATGAAATTTTTTTCTTCTACTCATAAAACTTCAACTTTTTCTTCAAATAAAATGCATGTCCAAATATAATTTTAACTTTCAAAATTTATTTTTTAATACAACTTCAAAAACTCTTTTTTTTCAAGTTTTATCCAAATTTATGTCCAAACGCCGGCTATATTACTTGTCAATTTCTTGTTTGTAAACTTGTGGATGTAAAGATATCCCAAATCAAGGTGTGAGTACTTTAAAGAAACAAATCGAGACATGTATTTTATTTCTATACACAATTCCAACCTTGAAGGTGCATTATCTAAACCTTATTGTCTCTGTTAATTTTCATTTTCACAATCAGATTTTTTTTTTTTTCCTCATATTTATTAGTTAGTATAACAGATGTCCAAAACTTTAGGATGTATATGTACAAGTCTCGACCCAAAATATAATGAAAATAAAGAAGACTTTTCTAGCATAAGTTGGAAATTTTTTTATGTCTTTTCACCCTGTTAAACAGCGCCAATTAACAAAACAATATGACAAGAACGCTTAATTGAGAGTAAATTTCACCCTGTCCCTTCAGATTAGTTTAATGAATCAATTGAAAGTACTCTAAAGTAAGGTACCACATAAAAGTCCTACTTGTCAACTAATTAACAGTTACTAATATTGGTGAAACTTTAATTGACATCAATCCAAGAATAATTTGTTATATTTGGTGAAATATTATTGACATGACTTGGAATAATGACTTTGTTGCATTTTGTTATTTCTTTGAGACTAGACTAGAGTAATAAGAATTTCATGAGGAAAATACTTGATTACTCGAAGCAGTAAATAATGAACGGAGGTTTTAAGCTTTTTTGGCCTTTTACAATGTTGAATTTAAGAAAATGTCTTTTTTAGATCTCTTATGTGTAAATGAAAGATCTCTTATGTGTAAAAGTAAATCTCTCATGTGTAAAAAAAAAAAAGATAAGGTCATAAAACTAAAAACAAATTTATAAAAGGCCAAAAAACCAATTGACCCTGAATAATGCCACCAGCACTATATTTTACTATTATAGAAGGTAATGTCCATCTTTCTGATAATAATTTTAATTCACAAACGGGTCGAAACTAGATACTCCACTAGGATTATTTTCACCGAGAGTAATAGCTTGTTTAGCCAAGCTTCTTTCGAGGCAAAAAATATTTTTTTTTTCTTTTAAAAGTATTTTTTTTTTCTTTAACTTGAGGTATTTGACCAAGTCTTTTTGGGGAAAAAAGTATTTTTAGAAAGAAGCAAAAATAGTTTTGGAGGAGCAGAAAAAAACAGTTTCTCCCCAGAAGTAGAAGTTGAAGCAGTTTTGATTTTTTTTTAGCCAAAAATACCCTTAGCAAAATATAGTATATACCAAATAACCTTACTTATTTTAAATCATCTCAAAGAATTAAAATTCTTTTCAATTTTATTTTCATATTTTACTAAAATAAAATGAATAAACTTAATTATTGTTTTTTAATATTAAATATTTGAGATATTATTTACTTATGTTAACAATTAAGTAAATCTCTACATGTCCTTACTCATAATTTGATACTTAAAAACACTTTTTGAAAAGCTTGGCTAAACACAAATTATTGTTCAAAATTGTTTTTCAGATTGATTAGCCAAACACAAATTATTTTTTCGGAAAGTACTTATGAAAAAAATATTTTTCAAAATAAGCTGATTTTTTTAGCACGGCAAAACGGCTATAAGGCCTAAAGCTTAGTTCAGATTTTGAAGCGAAGAATTTACCTTTTTTTTCTAAGAAAATTATATTATTTTGTTGAAATATATATGATGTTACNTATATATATATATATATATGCGTGATTTGACTTCTTCAGCTTCACGTATTGCGGAAATGAAATAATACAAAAATTGACAGGAAACAAAGTAGAGGCATATTCTGTGGTTAGCTGGTTTTGCTTGGATATCTGGAAAATTGCTTTTTAGAGACTCAGAAAATTCAACTTCTACTTGACATCACTATCTTGAATTTGTCTTTTTAAGTCTTTCCATAATTATTTTTTTGACCTTATCAATTTGGAATTTGGATGACGGCTTTTGTTCTTCGCAAAAAGTAATGTCTAAAGTATTAACTGGCATATGAGACTTAGGATAAAAGCAAAATACTATTAGTACATGTTACAACTTTGATGTTGTTTCCATTACTGTCCCTTCCAATTAAGAACAATTATTTTTACTATCTTAAGAATGTTTTGCAGCAATAATTTAGATAACTAGGCATTTTTTATTTGGTATTTAGTTCCTGCTTTGGAGCCCGATTAATTTGGATTTGCATAGGGAAATCCAAATTAATAAGTACTCCCTGTTACCAAAGACAATTAAATTTTCAGGGGCGAGAATTTGAAACTCTATTAAGGATGGAGAATACTTATTGCTCCGCCGTAATCTTTTGGTGGTAGATAAATAGAATGGTTTTCTACTTCCGTCCTCTCTAATGCTATATTTTTTTTCTTGAGGATGTTTTCTAATCTTGAGCACCCACGGCCCTCTGATACTTTCAATTGTTTTCTTCTTGGAAATTACTTCTTATATTTATTTTATCTTATTTCGTTGTCAAATTAAAATATTGCACTAGTTAAATTTAGATTTCAATATGTACATGAACATATTCTTAAAATATGATATGGTTTTAACTTTTAATGTCTCCAACAAGATGTTCCCCTTTTGCTTTTGGTCAATGTTTGAAAAATAAACTAATGGAATAGCTTAATTTATGGTGAAATATTGTTATCAAAATTCAAGAGGCTTGACTTGGGAAAGCGTTTAACTAGGGACTTAAACAGCTACAAATTAAGAGTAGAACTGAAGGAGCAAAAGTTAATACAGTAAGATTGGCAGCTCATACCTTAATCTTGTGATTATACAAACATAGACTCATCCAATATTTGCTAGGTACTTCTATAATTACGATAAAGAATGCCATTTCTTTTGGCAGAACAACATTTCGTAACAAAAGTTCCATTCAAAAAGAATAAATAATTCATTCTACATGGAATTAAGACCACCGCAAGAGATGGCGGTCTCTTATTTTCCCCCTCAATAATATATTACCAAATGTACAGATATTTCTAAAATAGAATTGCAAATTGCAATCATGTACTTCATCGGCTGGCATTTCAACTATCGTAGACCGCATTACAGTAGGAATAGGCTACTACCTTTTTGAATGATTCGACTAAAGTTTCCACACCTGGACGTACGTGTACTTACCTCGAATATCCACCCACATATCTACAAATCGTAAGTTAATTGCATTTCTCTTCAAACTAGTTACATATATTCAACATTTTATTTCAACTCTATATACACTCAAATCTCTCTATAACAGTTTCGTTTGTTTCAAATATTTTTGAATATTATAACAAAATGTTGTTATAGAGAACATATATTATAACATAACATAAATATTGATTCCGAAAAAGTTTGACTTTTATAGAGAAGTATTGTTATATAGGGATGCTTTTATAGAGAGGCCTGACTCAAACATTCAGTTCCAATTTAACAAACACTTGAATAAATGCATGTATTTAGCGAATAAATATTACTATTAGGAGAAAAATGCTATAAGTTCAATGTACCTTGGCATTGTTCAACCTACGATAAGCATGCCATAACTAAATAATCCGTAGCTTATGAAAGCTAATTTACCCTTTTGGATAACATGGAACACCATAGGCACATAAAACGCGCAGAAAAGCTAAAAAAAAATTCAACAGGAACTGGTTACATTCTGAATCGAGTAAGCTACACAGTTGAGCAGCCAAATTCATCAGAATGATTCTCAAATGTTTAGATGATTACATAGAGGAAGGGACTCTGTCCTTCAATTGTGAATTTGTTAGGATCGGGAAACCTCTTTTTCCTACCCCGGGCACAGAAATGTAAAACATTCCAAGAAAGTTGCAGCAACAAATTAAACATAACATGATTGATCACATTTCTATTTACTAATAAAATGTGGAATGAACTGCTCCACGATCTGGTGGAGATGCTCCAACTCCCCTTGAAGAAGACGCAAAACCTGCATTCGTGTTTGCAACCAGCCAGTTCATCACTTAAGAGTAAAATCACAAAATAAGATAATCCATCCATATTCAGCAAGCAAGATTTGTGTCGTATGCATTAGGTTACTGCATTACCAAAATTAAGTTATTATGGTTAAAGAAGAGTAGAGTTCAGGTATAATCAATTAGTTCTTTCTCTTCTATAAAGTAGCTTCCAACACTAACGCCCCCCTCCCCCAAGAAAAACCTGCTTTCCTTTCACTTCTCCAGCCTTATTTAGATTCATAATCAAGAATTTTTTTCACAGGTTTTTGGCTATGACAAATGGCCTGAAAGTTAGTTCTTGGTCAGTTTATCACCAAATCAATATGATAGTGTGAAACAGTGGCGGAACCACTTTTATCCAAGGTGACAACCCTTCGTTGGAAATTACACTGTGTAGATAGGTAAAAATAATAATGTGTGCATTACTATATTGTTAAATCCCCTTGGCTTCTTCATGTGTTTACTTTTTTTTCTTTTCACTCCCCTTAGTAAAAATCCTGGTTCCACCACTGACATGAAACTATATGCATTTTGGCGCCTTATGAGCAATAAGATGTTGAGCTGCACACTATCAAGAAGCAGAGTACGGAATGCAAATTGCTAGACAACAATAAAGATGAAAATTCCAGCTCCCAATTTCCAAAGTGCAGTCAGTGAACTTAACTGGGTGCACCAAATTCTCCAAAGAGAGGTGCTCCCTTAAGTCAAACTAGAATAACATGGCAATTCATCCTTCTTTTAGGAAACTGGGATAAAACAGACTGGTGAAAGCAATCTCTCTATAGCTTGTACATCATCAAATCACGGAAGCCGATACTCAAAATGGACTAACAAAAAAGACTATCAAGTAGAGGTTGAAGAAAATACAACATGATACTTAACAGGCACAACCTTGTCCTGGAGAGCAATCATAAAGCAACAACAAAGGTTTTTTAAGTCCAAATTAAGACAATAGATTGACTTCTGATTTCTGATGTTCAAAAATATCACTACTGTGTTGCATACTACTGCTTCACAGTTATAATAGTGGCCGTATTTCAAATGAAGAATCCTGAATGTTTTTGTATATGCTTCTTGAATGTTGCATAAGGAATATTATGAAGAGAATAAATATGAACCAATATATGAAACTTAAAAACGAAAAGAATAATATCTTTGACATGGATTGATAGGCTGATGATATGTTCAGTGTTCTTCTATTACTAAGCAGTTCATCAACAAATTAACTTCATAAATTAACAAAATTTACCTCTCCCATTGATGGGCGCAGTTCAGGGTCATTCTGCACACACATGAATGCTGTTCTAGCCATGTGGTACACTTCATATGTGTCGTAAGAGTCACCAATGCGAGGATCAATGAGCTCATGCAATGCAAGCCTTTTAATGAGTGGAATTGCCTGAAAATGCGAAAGATCAACTTCCCGTTAAATTGCACTCAAATTTTGAAATGAAAGTTCCCTAAACTAGCTAGATCTTTTGAAGGAATCGCATTTAACTGTGATCCCAAGTAACGAAAGCCCAGAGAACATACCCATTGTCTAAGGGAGTGATGGCCCTCTCTCATTGAATCTACGGCTTGCGTCCTGAAATTAGTTGTATAAGCACAATGCCAAATGAATAGACATCTGTTCTTACAGACACAATGCCGTTTTCAGCATATTCAGGAGCAAGATATCTGCATGAAGCAAGCAAAGCTTTTGGTGAATATCTGACTCAAAGTTGTCATCTATGTATGCAATGAAGTATAGGAATTGCTCACACCCCAATGAGCCAAGTATCCTCGTGTAAATCTTATCCTCGTCTGTCTTCCACTTAGCCAGGCCAAAGTCACCTATCTATGACAAATGAAAACAAACAGAATTATCCATATGAAGAATGGAATTAGTATTAGCTTCCCAAGTGTTTTTATTCAGGTCTCAGTCCAGCTTGGAGGAACAGAAGCAGGGGGACAAGAGGGGGACGAATGTGGTAACTACAAATTATCTGCTCATTCTATTTAGTCTAACAATACTAATAGTTTTTCTATGTGGGCGAATCAAAATGTGTAGATGTACCATGGGAACAAAGTCATGAGTGAGTAGTATATTGCTCGGCCTCAGGTCACGATGAATAATTGGACCTCCACGACATTCTTCATGCAGAAAACGCAAGCCCTTTGCAGTGCCAATGGCAATAGCATATCTGCGGTGCCAGTCAAGGACATTTTCTGTATTCTCTGCCAAGATATTACCCCAAATAACTATTTATCTTGCGCTTTATGTTGCTGGACCAATATTTGACTATCATAATAATACGTACCAAATAAGTGCCACTCGAGAGAATTATTGCAGATGTATTCATAGACCAAGATGTTAACATTTTCCTTGCAGCAATAACCCAAAAGCATCACAATGTTTCTGTGACGTGCAAAGCTCAAAACATAAACTTCAGAATGAAACTCGGAAAACCCTTGTGTACTTGCTTCCTTCCGCACCTTTGCAGCAATGACCTGACCATCTTTTAACCGACCTTTATATACATGACCATATCCACCTTCTCCAAGCAAATTATCCTTCGAAAAATCATCTGTTGCCAGCTGTATCTCTGAGAAACTGAATCTCATTGAATCCTTGATATATAGTTCTGTCTTTGCTCCACAAGCAATACAAAGAAATGGTGTATTAGAGGATTTCCTTGATGTCGGTGGTTTTTGTTCTTTCTGAATAACAGGAGGAATTGAATGCTTCATTTCCTCTCTGGCAGACCTACCTGTTAAAATTTTTAAACAATTAAAGCGCGAAGGACAGGAGACGATTCCCTACTCTGTATCAAATGCCTTACAGTTTTACACTAGAGATTGTTACATCTTTCATCAACATCAAGGAGACCAATACTATAACAGATTTATATAATTCAACTAGTTTAAAAACACCGAAAACAGAAAAAGCCCGTTTTAAACTCATGAAAACTGTAAGGAAAGATATTTCTTAGTATTCCTCTTCTTATCTCTTCCCTACTATGTTGAGTAGGAATCCAAACTACAAAAGAACTACAAACTTTTCAGAAAACAGAAGGTCTTTTAAAACCATGAAAACTGAAAGGGAAGATATCGTTGAGAATTCCTCTTCTGACCTCTCCCTACTAAGTTGAGCAGGACTCAAACCAGAAAAGGACTACGAACCCTCAAAGTCGGATGTCACTGCACTGCCGCAACTTAAAGTTACCAGCACACGAACCATTACCAAAAGCCGATGAATTACCAAATTCTTAATGAGTAGTTCATATGCAAGAACAATAATCCATTTTCCCAAAAAATGAAGAACCAGCTAATTTTACAACCAGAATTAGTATCCATGAACAATAATATAGAATCAAACAAGGCTTGGAGATACCTTTCAACCCACACAACAAGGAATTACTTCACTACGGTAATATTTGTTTCATGTGAGCATGAGTGTCATAATGAAGTTTTGTAACAACAGCAGCAAGATTTTATGCTAGAATTTTAAAAATATCATGCTTTTTTTTTGTTCATTCAGGGGTACGGCGTATAGGCCTACTTGTTAACATTAGAATAAATGAGTTGTTTTACTTGTCCCTTAAAGGATATCTGAGAAAAAGAAGGAAAAATCTAACTAAACAAGGTTAATGATATACACATGCCACTGATATCAAAAGACATGGCTAATAGTACCCAAATGGCTGCATTTCTTTTAAAATTATTGTTAGAACAGCTATGTGAATATATATGTAATTAGTCCTAGTCCCATATGTAATAGGAGTAGGTTATGTATTATGTGTACTTATAAATAGGGTTTATTGTATTACAATTAACATCAATAATAGATTTTTCTCCCGTGCATTCTCACATGGTATCATAGCATCAGTGAGAAAAGATCACATTGCATCATTCCAGTGACATCCGGAAAAAAGAACTCAGTCACCGTGCAATTTTCCGGTGACATAAGTTGTTGTTTGCGTCAAAGTCACTATTTATCAGTGGTGTGCACAAACCAACACCACCACAAGGTCCATTGTAGTCCCGCAACCAAACCCCAGAAAACCCCACCGTAAAATTCCTACCCACGCACAGGGCAGACTGGAAATTTTCTGGCGAGATCTATGCACGCACCGGGCGTGTGAGACTCCATCCAGCCAGATTCTGACAAACTTCCTTTAGGGCAGCTTACTCGCACAGCAATTCCGAGTCCAGCAGTACTATTTCCGACAGATTCCGACAACTTTGGAATTGTCCGGCGTGAACAGTGTTTTCTGGCGTAAATAGTGTCCTTTTTCTCTGCTGTGAATAGTATTTGCCTAGATATTTCTCCAGTTTTCCCGCAGGAGTTACTGATTTCTACTATTTCAAGTTAACCCTACAACTTTTAATCAAGAATTTGAGAAATTAATTGTAGCGAAATGGGATCCAATACTATGAATAGTTGGATGGTTTCTCTACCAGATTATATTGAGTTCCTTTAGTACAAAGCATGTAAACAGACATCTTCAGAGACAGCTTTTGTTGTTCAAACATGTACTAGCGTGACTTGTATTTCCCAATCTTCATCCTCCGATTTTTGGGTCATTGATTCAAGTGCATCTGATTCAACAGCTTGTTCTGTTACTGTTCACCAGATTTATTACATAAACAGTTGGGACATACCAGTTTGTCAAAACTTAAGAAAATGGTACCTGGTTTGTCTCATTTGACTACTCTAAAGTGTGAGTCATGTCAGCTCGGTAAGCATACCCGCTCCTATTTCCCTCGGCGTCCTGATAATCGAGCAGAGTCACCTTTCACTTTAGTCCATGCAGATGTTTGGGGTCCTAGTCAGGTCAGTTCTACCTTGGGATTCCGCTACTTTGTTAGTTTCATTGATGATTATTCTAGGTGCACTTGGATATTCTTGATGCAAAATCGATCCGAGTTATTTTCTATTTTTCAGACATTCCACGCTGAAATCCAAAATGAATTTGGGGTTTCTATCCGCACATTTCGTAGTGATAATGCCCTAGAGTATTTGTCTTCTCAATTTCAGCAGTTTATGAACTCTCATGGGATCATTCATCAAACATATTATCCATATACATCTCAATGAAATGGGATAGCGGAAAGGAAGAATAGGCATCTCATTGAGACTGTCTACTCATATAATCTTATGTTCCGTTGCGTTTTTGGGGATGCAGTTCTCACATCTTGTTATCTTATTAATCGTATGTCATCCTCAGCTATCCAGAATCAAGTTCCATTCTCTGTGTTGTTTCCTCACTCACCCTTGTTCTCTCTTTCACCTCGTGTCTTTGGGAGCACATGTTTTGTTCATAACCTTACTCCAAGAAAAAATAAGTTAGCTACTCGTGCTCTTAAGTGTGTATTTCTAGGTTACTCGAGAACGCAAAAGGGGTATCGATGCTACTCACTTGACCACCAGCGGTGCCTTATGTCTGTTGATGTTACCTTCTTTGAAACTCAGTCATACTTCACAGGCCTAGGTGATCACTTAGACATTTCTGAGGTGCTACCAGTTTCATCTTTTGGAGATTCAGTCACTATTTCCCCTTCACCTTCCTCCATGGCTCCATCATAGGCTACAGCCCGAACTCTAGCTCCAGCCCCACCATCTATAGCTCATCCTATATTCTCAACCACAAAAGTCTTACAATTACCAACCGTTTAGGAATCTAGTGTTACTCATCCTAGATCCCCAGCCTCAGGAACACCACTCTTGCCTTATCATCGTTGTCCGCGCCCAGCATCAGGCCCAGCTAATTCACGTCCTGCACCTGACCCTGCTGCTACTGCGGACTTGTCTCCTCCTAGTCGGCCGATTGTACTTCGGAAAGGTATACGGACCACACTTAATCATAATCCCAATTATGTCGGTTTAAGTTTTCATCGTCTGTCATCACCCCATTATGTTTTTGTATCTTTTTTCTTCTCTGTTTCCATCCCTAAGTCTATAGGTGAAGCATTGTCTCGTCCAGGATAGAGACATGCTATGGTTGACGAGATGTCTGCTTTACATACAAGTGGTACTTAGGAGTTTGTTCCTCTGCCATCAGGCAAATCTACTGTTGGTTGTCGTTGGGTGTGGTGTATGCAGTCAAAGTTGGTCCAGATGGCCAGGTTGATCGACTTTAGGCTCGTCTTGTTGCCAAAGGGTATACTCATATATTTGGGCTCGATTACCGTGATACTTTCTCTCCCGTGGCTAAAATAGCATTAGTACGCCTTTTTCTATACATGGCTGTTATTCGCCATTGGCCTCTTTGTTGGACATTAAGAACGTTTTTCTTCACGGTGACCTTGAGGATGAAGTTTAAATGGAGCAATCACCTAGTTTTGTTGCTCAGGGGGAGTCTGGTGGTCTTGTTTGTCGGTTGCGCCGGTCACTCTATGGTCTAAAGCAGTCTCCTCGAGCCTGGTTTGGTAAGTTCAGCACAGTTATTCAGGAGTTTGGCATGACGCGTAGTGAAGCTAATCACTTTGTGTTTTATCGGCATTCTGCTTCAAATCTCTTTATTTATCTGGTAGTTTATGTTGACGATATTGTTATTACCCGCAATGATCAGGATGGTATTACTAAGTTGAAGCAACATCTCTTTCAACACTTTCAGACTAAGGATCTGGGCAGATTAAAGTATTTTTGGGTATTGAGGTCACTCAGTCTAGCTCAGGTATTGTGATCTCACAACAGAGGTATGACTTGGACATTCTTGAGGAGACAGGAATGACAGGCTGTAGACTTGTTGACACTCTTATGGATCCAAATTCTAAACTTCTACCAGGACAGGGGGGCCACTTAGCGATCCTGCAAGATATAGGCGGCCGATGGGTAAAGTAAATTACCTTACAGTGACCAGACCTGACATTTCCTTTCCTGTGAGTGTTGTGAGCCAGTTTATGAATTCTCCCTGTGATAGTCATTGGATGCAGTTGTCCGCATTCTTCGGTATATAAAATCAACTCCAGGCAAAGGACTATCATTTGAAGATCGAGGCCATGAGCATATTGTTGGATACTCAGATGTTGATTGGGCAGGATTACCTTCTGATAGACGTTATACGTCTGGATATTATGTTTTAGTAAGAGGTAACTTGGTGTCCAGGAAGAGCAAGAAACAGAATGTCGTTTCTCGGTCTAGTGCAGAAGCAGAATATTGAGCAATGGCTATGGCAACATGTGAGCTAGTTTGGATCAAATAATTGCTCAAGGAGTTTGAAATTTGGTGAAATCAGCCAAATAGAACTTGTGTGTGATAATCAAGCTGCCCTTCATATTGCATTGAATCCGGTGTTCCATGAGAGAACTAAACATATTGAGATTGACTGTCACTTCGTCAGAGAAATGATACTCTCAAGAGATATTACTACAAAATTTGTGAAGCCGAATGATCAGCTTGCAAATATTTTCACCAAGTCCCTCACCGGTCATCGTATTAGTTATATATGTAACAAACTCGGTACATATGATTTGTATGCACCATCTTGAGGGGAGTGTTAGAATAGCTATGTGAATATATATGTAATTAGTCCTAGTCCCGTATGTAATAAAAGTAGGTTATATATTATGTGTACTTATAAATAGAGTTCATTGTATTACAATTAACATCAATAATAGATTTTTCTGTCGTGCATTCTCACAATTATCATCATGCTAGCACACCTGATCTTTCTTGCATAGGATTGGCACTAAAATCTTCGAGTGAAGTGCTATTCTCCTGTTGTTCGTATGTCACCATTTCATTGTTTGCAATTTCGGAGCTTTCCACGGAACCTGAGTAGTTCATTGAAATAACAGACTGCTCTGTGTTCTCTTCAGTCGGAGGAGGTGCCAAGGGTACTTGCTTGGACAAAGAAAAGTATAACTTATTCTCAATGCTGTCCGCATCAATTATGGAATAAGGTCTCATAAACTTCACAAACAAGTTATCACTAATTAATGCAACTTTGCAAGGTATGTGTTTAAGGTAATACGTCAAATCCCGCCTGAGGTACCTGTAAGGGTTTAACCTTGTCATAATTAGAGAATAGAAAACAATGTCATAGAGTCAAACAAACATGAGATTCTATCAGCAATATAGAGGCAATAAACATATAAACCATTGATCCAAAGTAGGAAGCAGATGATGACATAAAAATTAATCCAAGAGGCTTACTTTTGAAAGATAAGTACTGACTTCCTTGTAACAACTACAAAAATGCGGACATGGTTTTTCATAGATCCAAAGTTGGAAGCACATCAATATAGATTTAACCAGGGAGGCTGAATTCTCAAGGATAAGTGCTGACTTTCTGGTAGCAAATAGAAAATACATGTTTTTTCTCGAGTCAAATGAGAGAAGAAGTCTTGCAAGACATTGTTCCACCTTTGATAAAATCATAGAGCTTTAGATTTATGCGCTTCTGTTTGTATCAGACAGTAGTTACGAAGCTCAGAAATCAACATCAGAAGCACCAGATATGGAACAAACAAAAACCTACCTTGGACTGAGGGAAAGTGCATCGACCCAGCTCTACTTAATAGCGGCAAGACCTTTTCGTACATGCATGCATATTGTGGATGTCATGTAGTTTTTTAGTTCAATAGCTTAAATTTGCTGTTATCTTCATGAAACCACAATATTCATGATCCCATCAGCAAGTCGAGGGACTAGTTTCATGGACTTTAAAAGTTACATTTCCTCTTCATGTTTTTTTAGCGAGTACCACTAAGCATCAAGCAACTTAGTGGCTAAATTTATCTCTTCAAGTTGAGAAATTCTCTCATGTTCCTTTCCTTTCAATAAAACCAAGCTTTAAGAAAGTTTTTAAATTAATAACTTCCCTTTTCTCTTCTTCTAACTAAGGAGCAAAATCACTGCAAACAGAAGCCTAATGTTCCAACCACAATAAGCAACAAAATGTATTGCAATCACACAATATTAATAATCAATGCGCAAACATTAAACATAATAGTCTATACAGAGTAAAATTCCAATTCTACAAATCAGCTTTATGACTAACAGGTATAGACTTATCCATGCATTTTTAATGAGAGAAAAAGTAGAGAAACAGGGTAAACAAAGGCGGAGCATCTTGTGACAAAAGCAATGTAGAAGAAAACTCCAAACAAGGGTCCATGCCAATTCTCTGAAGATCCATGTGTATCCCTTAAATACTGGTGGACCAAAATCAAAGCTACTCAATAAACAATACAACAAAATTCCGTTCAAATAGTTCCTTAAGTGAAAATTATCAATAAGTTCTTTAAGGAAGAGTTAAAAACCTAATCTGAGCAAAGATGCTATGTTTGCATACTAGTTAAGGTTCCAACTGATCTTTATATTTTGGCAGATAGGAAGAGATATATTTATTTACTTATTCAGATTATGAATTGGCCTCATGATGTGAGGGATGGATTCCTTTTCAATGGACCAACCACATTGCAATGTTGTCATAACATGGTAGCAACACTGAGACCAGAAACTCTTTGCTCTTTGCCATGTTTATTTCTCCATCTTGTTTAAAAGCCTATTAGAAAAGAGGAGGTTTTTATGTAGCATTTGTTGTCTTCTGCATTTTACGACTAATTTATTGTTGGTTCAAGTCTCAGTATACTTTAGCTCCCAATGAAAGAGACGTCATGCGAACTACAAGAACTGGAATTACCATGGTAACATCAGAGAACATACCTATCTAGTACAACACATGCCGCATCGATAGTTATCACCTCTTGTACAACCACCTTCCTTACTGGAGTCCCAGCAGTAATTTTGACTTCAATGTCAACCTAAGCACAATTTATAGTAATTTGTAGTAAGAACAAAATTAAAGGGATATAAATATATATAAGAAATAAAATGCATTTCATTGGACAGAAATATAATGAGATGACATAGCTAGAAAGACAAGTAAAAGAATAGCTTGGGCATTCAATCAAAATGCTACTCCATCCAGTTGATGCCCTTCACTTGCCTCCACAGATGAATATAGTCTCTCTCTCTCTCTCTCTCTCTCTCTCTCTCTCTCTCTCTCTCTCTCTCTGCCCCAGAATTGTAAATTAGCTGCTTACAGCTGCACGCTAATAAGAAGACCATTCCAAGAAGATCATGGAATTCAAAGATATTCCGCCTGGCTGGATAAAGGAAGAACCCATGGATATCCTAAGAATATTATTTTGAGAAACCTCAATATATATAGAATGCGGGCAGCTCATATCATCTGCCTTGTAAGATAATAGCTCTCTCTCTCTCTCTGCCCCAGAATTGTAAATTAGCTGCTTACAGCTGCACGCTAATAAGAAGACCATTCCAAGAAGATCATGGAATTCAAAGATATTCCGCATGGCTGGATAAAGGAAGAACCCATGGATATCCTAAGAATATTATTTTGGAGAAACCTCAATATATATAGAATGCGGGCAGCTCATATCATCTGCCTTGTAAGATAATAGCTCTCAAATTATAAACGAATTAAGCAAGGGATGATACAAACTATATAAACTGCTTTTTTAATAGTCTTATCAAATGAGGATGGGACAATCATCTTTCTATTTCTGCTACTATGCCACTCTTTATTTCAGTTACTTTACTTCAAGATTCATAAATCCTACAGGCTGAATCAGTGTTAGAGTGTGATTTTTATTAAGGTGGACTCCAGTTTATATGTTGATGAACCACCGGTGATTAACATTCTTTTGCACTTTCATTTAATTGCCGTTTTCCTTATGTAACTGGGCTCTATGTGGGCGTTGTCCCCCCTATATAATTGAGGTTAAGACAATATAACAAGGCAGTTTCTAAACCAAGTTCAAATACTTTGGGAGCTGTAATGTCTACTCCTATTGTGAACATCTGAAAATTAATTTTTTCAAAAGCTAATCTGTACTGCATCAGATTATTTTTGAAATTTTATTGATATGCTAACACACGGATATGAACAAACTCCAAAAGACTGTAATGTAGTAGGTCAAACTCAACCACATGCCTCCAGAGTGAAGCAAACTTGCTAGGCCAGTGGGAAGTAAAAATTTCCAGAATTTTCATAAGGGTGGCTTCTATTGATACTTCTAGCCACATTCTAAGATATATCAATTAGCAGTTGCTTGCAGTACAGAGCTATTATGAGTCTTAAGTTGTATATATTACCCCTTCACCTTCACAGTCTTGGGCACTTTGCATGAGCATGTTCACATATGTATCAACCTTCTTTGTTACCTCTTTTTCAATTTCACGTTTGTGAGTTCCAAAAATGGACAGTGGCTCTGCTTCCATTTGATAACCCACTGCGCACAAAAATGAGTGAGCAACCCATACTGTAAGGATGTATAACATACAAGATAAGAAGTCAGCTAAAGACATGAGCAATGATATAGTGGTCAATCGCACACAGGGGCGTATGTATTGTACTAATACCGAGTTCAATTGAACACAAAACTTTTGACGCGGAGTAAAAATTTATATATAAAAATTCATTAAAATTGCAAAAATAGTAGATATAAACCCATAACTTTAAAAATATAATGTGTTGAATGCTAAAAACTTTAAAAGCTGAACCCATAGAAGTTAAATCTTGAATCCGCCTCTGCTCGCATGTAATTATTCAGCTAATACTGGTCTACCACAGTTCCCCCTTGACCATAAAAATGGCATAATATGTAGAAACTATGTATTCCTTATATGCACTTCAACAGTCACAGGAAAGAGGAATCATGCGTAGTACTACTGGAGTTGTAAGCTTTCGTGAACCAAAAAATATGAGTCCCCACTAAAGTGACTTTGGTCATAACTTAGCAGCGATAAACAAGAACCAATTCTTGATGACAAAAAACATTCTAGTTGAACCCATTAGCTATCAAAACGGAAAGTTCATTTTGGTGAACGGGAAATGGTGAAAATTGAAAGCTTCTATAAGGCATTAGCAAGCAATAAAAAGAGGAAAATGCTAGAAGATATATCCTTGCGTAATTGTCATGGAACTAATGGACAAGTGAAGAAAGTAGAAATTTGTTGTTCATTATTAAGAAACTAGTTTATAAAGTGTACAAGACAGAAAATGCAAGATTAAGCATAATAAACTACATCAACATCATACTCCATCAAGTTCATGAACAATCTCTACATGTACCACTGCAGAATTTTATGTTTTACGTACCATCTTTTAAGGCCCTACAGATCTTTTCTCCCGAGAGTTTTATAGGAGATAGATTTTAAGAACCATAGCACAAAGTGTTAGACATATCCTAAAGGGAGAAAATAGCATCTTATAGGTCAAACTGTCACTTCACAGAAATCAGAATGCATCTCCATATAAGCTTAAAATGGAAATAAATTTGTTTTGTCACACATCTAATCATCACCTTGATTTTGTCCATTCACTTTAATCGGACATATAAAATTTTAGGCCGATATAATGACTTCAAAAGTTTGAGTTGCGCCTAAAATTAGATCATATTGTTCAGAGGACTCATCATCATCTGTAGAGTTATGAAAATCCACAGGAATAGAAAACTATTAATAACCTTACAATTCGAGTAAAATTTATCAAGCACAACCCTCAAAACGTGGACGCCATGTTGATTCAAAGGTAGCTACAATTGGTAATATTTTTCTCTTCTCATTCATGCCCTCTTCCAAATGAAACAAATGGCAATTAATGATGTCAACATTAGCAAAAGTCAAAGATAAATCGTGCGATCACCCTGCAACTCAAGCACTAAAAAGTAGCAATTTCAAATAGAAAATGAGATAGTAACTGCAAAAGGAGAGGCAGGCACTCACTAGGATGTAGATATTTATGCAAAATCCCGAGCACAATAATGGTATCGCCCGCGTGAAGAATGTTACCCTGTGCTCTGATCTCATTGATTGTTTGCTTGATTTCCTGCTCAAAGTGATCCTTGGTCGCGTCTAATGCTATAACAATACGACCCGTTATAAGACTCTCACCATCTGTATGGCTACCCATTGATGCTGCCATTTCTTGCAATTCAAGTTTCCAACACACACAACAATTGCACTCTTATTCTTTTCTTTGTAAATGATACTTAATATATAAAGAGTGCATGAAATAATCAAACAAACATAAGAATGAAAGATGGACAAATCAAATTTGGGGACAACAAAATTGTGTCTCAAAATATTTACTGGGGTATTGAGGAAGAGTAGAGGGGAATATTTACAGTATATTTGGGATATTCTGAATGGATATTCTGAATAATTTTCTGGCGGGAACTGGGAGCCGGCCATGAAGTTGCAAAGAAGAAATGGTGCCAAAGTGCAAAAAGACAACAATATTCAATTTCGCTGGGCAATTTTTCTTGTGAGAGCCACTTCACTAACATTTCTCCTCTGAAACTCCGATAAAACGAGAGAGAAAACATATCTTTATTGTTTTGGCTATTGGTTACAAGTAGAAATGATAATGGCCGTGACATATGTTAATTCCTACCTGCTTGTTCATTTATGGGAAGCTCTGCAAATTTTTACTGGAATTCGATAAGTTTAGAAAGTAAAGCTAGATATATCTAAAATTTCAAATTTGGAAATGAGTAAAAGGGTAATACAGTATAATACAGCTTAAATAAAGTGGTAGATTTATTGCTAGAATTGCTACATTGAATCGTAGCTATAGGTGCAAGCTTCCTCTATCGTTAGAAACCCCCTCCCCCCTCGTTTTTGGATCATATCGGTAATTAGCCACTTTTTACCCCTGCTATTAACGTTTAGCCACGGTTTAAAAAACTATTTCTTATCTGAACATATTTAACTGGATACGTATTTTAAGAAAGGAAAAAAAGAAATTTTTTGAACTTGTGGTGTAAAATAAAGTACATATATTTTGTATGGCTATAAATCAGTACATAAAAGTAAATTATTTCTAAATATGAAAAGGGGTTATTCTTCTTGGCATGGACTATAAAGAAAATAAGTTCACATACATTGAAACAGAGGGAGTATTAGACTTTAGCCACTCTATTTAAACATAGGTATATTTTGGAAAAAATTACTCTCAAACACACTGAACAACTCCAGCAATCATTACTGGATTCAGGGGCGGCTCAATGATAAAACAACTCAAGCGACTGCTTGAGGCTCAGGCAATTACTTGAGGCCCCATATTTGTGGGGCCTAAATTTTTTAATATTAAATAGTTGTATATGATAATTATTTTAAATAAAATATTTATTATATAAATAAATAAAAAGAACAGTTTTCATGAAAAAAGAAAATGTGAAACCGTTAGAGTTAATTTGAGAATAGCGATAGTTACTTTTGGGGTTCACCCCTAAACATTACGTGAGAATATGTTTCTTCCCCCTTTATAGACTATCATCATTATCACAGGGCCTACATTACTTTTATGACATTATTACTTTCTCTTTAAACTGATTTTTACTTAATCTTTTATATTCCTTTTGGCCTCTCCGGATTTACAAGTCCATTGTCTCATATAATATTGTGTCAAATAAGATAGCAGAAAGCAATTGCGAATTCTTTTTTTGTCAAGCTTTTCCCGCATTGTACCAAAATATTGACGCAACAAAAATAATATCAATTTATCTATGACTATTTGTTAAAATCAGGTTCAATTGTTATGTACTTTTCTTATTACTTTGCATCTAAAATTTGTTATTTTTTATTTTTATTTTTTGTTTGTAAGTATATGTATTATATTTTTATTTATTTATTAGAATTTTAATATGCCAACAAGAAAATATGAATCTGTGTATTAAAAATGTCAAAAAGAAAGAAGAGATAAAACTTTAATACAATCCCAAAAAAGAGCACTGATAAATTTTTAGCGAACAATAAAAAATATAGAAAAATACGAAAGAATTTATGGTACATGAACAAATCACTAATTTAATTGAGCTAAACGATAATGGAATCCAAGGAGAAGAAGTTGGTGAGAATCTAACATAGATCTTTTAGAAAATCATGAAATTCTAAAAGAATCGAATAATAATCCTAGAAAGTAAAAATATATATAATCCTTGTCAAGAAATTGATTATAAATAAATTAATAATAATTTTACATCTCAAAAAGATAGAAAAAAGAAACTTCAAATAAATTTTTACTAATTGAATATGCGACTTTGATGCGGGACCGTACTGGAGTGACCTTGGCCATTTGGTTTCCTTGATGCGATCGATGGCTGACACTATACTCACTGCATTCACGTTGAAGTTATATTCTAATAGTCTCGGGGCATCTCTGCCCCGAGTGATATGTCAAAATCGTTTCTATTCATCAAACCTCGGTTGCTTGGACCCTGATCGATTCTCCTATCATTCCTGGTCGGGTGGCAATTGGGTCTGTTTCCCCTTATATCCAAGCTGTATAGCTGGTATCGATCTCGGGGTGGCCTCAGCTCCTGATCCACAATTCTTTTAGACATGTCGTTCGCTCTATTGGGATAAACAGACCCCGAGGGAGCTCCTAGCTAGTCGTTCTTGACTCTGATCTTTGACTGGTATCTGTTGTGGGCGTCGTCCAGGTAACCGCAGTACTCTACCAAGTTTTGCTTCAACTGTTGAGATGCAACCGAACTTTGGGGGTTAAGTCCTTGAGTAAACGCCTGAACGGCCCAATCGTCTGCAACCGGGGGCAGGTCCACCCGTCCCATCTAGAACCTCGACACGAACTCCCTAAGCATCTCGTTGTCCCTTTGCTTGACTTTAAACAGGTCTGATTTCCTCTTTTCGGCTTTGATAGCGCCAACGTGGGCTTTAACGAAGGCATCTGCAAGCATAGCAAATAAATCAATAGAATTTGGAGGTAAGTTATGGTACCATATCATTGTTCCCTTAGACAAGGTTTTCCCAAATTTTTTCAGCAATACCGACCCGATCTCGTCATCCTCGAGGTCGTTGCCTTTTATTGCACATGTGTAGGAGGTCACATGCTCGTTTGGTTTTGTGGTTTCGTTGTATTTGGGAATATCGGGCATTCAGGACCTTTTCAGATTTGGCTTTGGTACCACACTCGGGGGGGAAAGGTTTCTGAATGAACTTTTTGGAATCCGATCTCTTTAATATCGGAGGCGCTCCCGGGATCTGATCGACCCTCGAATTATAAGTCTCTACATTCTTGTCATTTGCCTATATCTTCTTTTTGCCGGAATCCACCCGTTTTGTCAGTGCTTCGAGTATTTTCATCACCTCGAAAGTTTCTCTAAGTCTGAACCTGTCTGGTTTTGTGACAATCCGTTCTTCTCTCCGAGTATATTCTCCAACACGTTCGGGTTCGGCCACGTTGTGTGCGTGATTTTGACTCTGCAGTTGTGTTATTGCAACTTACTGAACTTGTAACATTTCAAAAATCAAACGTAAGCTAACTCCATCACCTTCCCCTTCGGGTGCTTTGCGAGCCGATGGCCGGGGTGCCCTGTGAATGTTATTTTTGAGATTAGTCGGTATGTTGATATTGATAGCAACTTGTGAACTAGCGTCGACTGGATCAGCGATTGGAGCGCCATTAAAGTCGACAGGGGGCATGTCGTTGCTTGGTACCACGTTATTATTTACACCATGGTGGCCTGATTCGGGTCAACATTCAAGTGAGCATATCGAGAATTTGACATTTTGAATAATCCCAAAATCAAACTTCAAAGAGGTGTAAAATAGGGTGTGTTACAGAGATCCGTATTAAATTATCACTATTATTCTTAGCCTCACGGTGGGCGCTAAACTGTTTACCCTTAAAATGAGTAACAATTAAATTTGTATGCAGTTTAAAGAATACGTGATTTAATTTAACTCGAATGATCAAAGAACAACAAGTAATTGAATTAAAGGAAAGCAAAACAATCAAACCAAGCACTACGAAATAATTGAGTCTGCCATTAGACTTGAACACTAAAGACTAGTCCCAAATGAGCCCTCGGAATGGAGCTCGGTACCAATTGAATGAGATAATCGCCGAAGAACACTTGAACAATTGCTAAAGACAAAATTAAATTTTATTGCTTTAATATGCGTGTCACAGTGATCCAAAAAATAAAAAGGTTCTCCCCTTTATATAGTAGGGGAGTTTCAATTCTAGTACAAGTCTAAATAAAGTAAAAATTCTTTTCTTCCTTATCTTCCGGTAAAACACGATCCGCATTTAATATCGGACGTGATCCGCGCCGTAATATTCGGTTGATGGCGGATATTTTGGCTTCTCGTTCGTCCTCTTTAACCGTCTTCCTTTTAACATATTCTTTATTTTGCCTGGGCTTGATTCTTCCCATGTTTGGCCATGCCCGATTCCCGACGTACCATTTGTCTCCTCGAGCTCCGATCTGTGGGCATCCTCGGTTTTACCTGAGCCAGCGTCGAATCACGCAGTCCCTCGTTTCTTCATCGGAAAATCGGGGGTAATTTTATCCCTGATTTTACCCGCACACCGTCTCCAAACTCTTTTTTCAGGTAGGAAATATTAATTTCTTTGATCATGATTTTATTTCTTAGGTTGTTGAATCTTAATGTAATTGACTAATTGTATTTCTTGTTTCATGGGGTATTCAGTTGCGCATGTAGGAATGAATCTAGTCTCTTGCTTATTTTGATGAGACCCTATAGTGTCATAGTGNTATATAATCTCTATTATGGATGATGATCTGTTGTTCGACGAAGATACATGGGACTGTTTTAGATTTTCAGAAGTCTGATCTGTCATCATCTTCGTCTCGGATCTAGGAAATAAACTTCATTGCAAACTTGTCGGTGGAGGCAAAATGGATCTAATAATTGGGATGAAACCGTTCACAAGGTATATATGTATAAATAGGGAAATGAAATCTACAGCCGCTCATCAAAACAATAGTCGATATTTGTATGTTTTTTGTATATTAATTTATAATATAATGTACAAAGTTTATACATAAATAGTGTATATTTGACTAGCGAATGTAATTATTTTTGATCGATTGGCAAAATGTGTTAAAAGGTGTACAAAATTTTAAGTTAATATATTAAATGAATTTTTTAAGATAAATACATGGGTCGAACTAAGGTGACTAGGTTTGGACGAACACGTTAGCTCCAGCACTGCCTCTAACTCGAGAAACAAGAAATTCGTGCGACACCATGAGAAAGAAAGACGAGTTTTTTCCTTAGTTGCAAATGAGAAGTTGAAAAAATTAATTCGGTATGCAGCATAAGATAACGTGATAAGAAAAAGTTATGTCCTTGAAAGATCGTCTTCAGGAATTATAATTTTCTGATCTTATTGCTGAGTTTGTCTTATTTTTCTAAATATCCCGAAAATACAACCGTTGTGCTAGAACATGATAATGATAAAATTTTACCCGTTTTTCCTAAAAGTATCTATTTTCACTAAAGATGGATAATCGGGCCAACGTTTGGAAAAGTTATTAGTCGATACACGCCCCATGCCTGAAAAATATATATACAACAATTTTTGACTCACTCCCAAAATCTCAAACAAGTTGAAGTCGATTATATCAACGCTTGAAAATA